TCTTCTCCCCGGACCTGTTCAGCGAACTGCTGGCTTCCACGGGTGAGGCCAGCGCCTGAGTCGGTGGGGCGGGGGTGCCGCTCCGCGGTGGCCGCGGCCCACTCACGGCTTCTGTCTGGGGGCGGCCATGGCCTCAGAGCTGGAGGACTCAGTGGAGCGGGTGGAGCCCGTGAGGCGCCTTCTGACCCGGCTGCCGGGCCCAGTGCTGCTGGTTCTGCGCTATCTCTTCACGTTCCTCAACCAGTGAGTGCTGGGGGGCGGGCCCAGGCTCGGGCTGGCGTGGGGGGTGCGGGAGGGCTTGGCCCCTAGGCAGGTGCTCCTGCCGGTGACCTTCCTGGCCCCCAGCCTGGCCCAGTACAGTGACGAGAACATGATGGACGCCTACAACCTGGCTGTGTGCTTCGGGCCCACGCTGCTGCCGGTGCCCGCGGGCCAGGACCCCGTGGCCTTGCAGGGCCGGGTGAACCGGCTGGTGCAGACACTCATCACGCAGCCCGAGCTCGTCTTCCCACCCCTGCCAGGCCCTGTCTACGAGAAGTGCATGGCACCACCCTCTGCCAGCTGTTTGGGGTACGCCTGCTGTCCTGGGTGGGGCCCCCAGCAGCCTGGGAGCCCCCTCACCTGCCCTGATCTGCTTCTGACCCCAGGGACCCCCAGGTGGATAGTGTGGCGGGGGACAACGAGCTGGAGCCGGATGCCGGGGCCTTGGCCCAGGAGGATGGTGAGGGGGACGGGAAGGGGGCCCAGCCCGGCACAGCACCGACTCTGCCTCCCTACAAGGCTCTGTCTTCTCCCCAGACGCGGAGGGGGTCGTGGAGGCTGTGGCCTGCTTTGCCTACACGGGTCGCACGGCCCAGGAACTGAGCTTCCAGCGGGGGGACGTCCTGCAGCTGCGTGCTCGAGCCTCGGGCGACTGGTGGTGGGGGGAGCACGGAGGCACCCGTGGGCTCGTCCCGCACAAGTACATCACCCTGCCGGCCACCGGGTGAGTGAGCGGCCCCGCTGGGCCTCTCCCACCTTGCGAGGGCCCACGGCCAGGCAGGGCCAGTGGAGGCTGGGCCCCCTGCACCCAGCTCTCCCTGGAAGTGCCTTTGCTCGCGCTGGTGCTTCTGGAAATTGAACCTGGAGCGGGACCTCATGCTGGGCTTGTTAAAACCCAAGTTGCTGCCCCCTACCCACCCTGCCCGCGGGTGTCAGATCTCGTGGGTCACTCTGACTGGTTCTGGCTGAGGCTGACAACCATGCCTTAGATGAACCGCTCTAACCCCAGGGCAGAGAGGCTTCTGGCCAGTCAGGGGCCGCAGGCAGCAGGGGAGAGCGGCCCAGAGGGCCTGCCAGCCGAGCGCACCAGCCGGTGAGCACAGGCGAGGGCCCCACCGTGCTGGGCCAGGTTGGACGGCGGGTGGGGGGCAGGCCCTGGCCACGTGGACTGTGGCCCTATGGGGGGGGTGACAGGGCCAGCCTCTGAGGGGCTTCCCGGGGGCCTGCCTGGTGGGAGGACCTGCTGTCAGCTCCAGAATGTTCTTCGGGAGGCCTGGCCACGCTCACTTCCTGTGCCTTGCAGGCCAGAGTCGAGCACCTCACTCGAGACCACAGGCACTTCTGGGCACAGACGGCACTGCCTCCTCCCAGCCTCCCCGGACAGACATGTGGAGATGGACAAGGTGAGAGCCCGGGCCATCAGTCCCCGGCTTTGGTGCTCCCCTGAGGGGCTACGCTTGTCCCTGCCCCATGGTCCAGTCTTCCTTCCCTGACAGTTGAGGGCACTGTCTGCCAGGGTGGCTGGGGAGCTCTAATGGGCAGGCCCAAAGCTGAGCGCGGGATGTGGGGGCAGGGGGTAGGAAGGGGGGACCAGAGGCCTTCAGCCTAGCTGTGACAGGGCTGCTCACAGGGGCAAGAGTGTCGACATCAGTGGAGCCAGGCTGGGGGACCGGCAGGGACGTGGCAGGTGCTGTTGGGACCAGGAGGATGAAAGGGACAGACCAGAGAGAAGTTAGAGACGGCTGGCTCGGAGTGGGGGTGGGGGCAGCACTTGTGTGTGTGTGTGGGGGGGCGGCTGGAGGGGCTGTGCACCCTGGAGGCACCAGGTCCCCTGTTCACATGGCGGGGTGGTGCAGGGATGCTCTCTGAGCCCAAAGGGGAGGGCGAGAGTGAGTGAATATTCCAGGTGGGCACTGGCAGGCACCGGGCTCGGAGCTGAGCCATCCAGGCCAGGAGGAGGAGGGGAGGCCAAGGCTGGTAGCCCTCCCCCAGAGCACCCAGGGAAGGCGAGCTGGGCCAGGACCAGGCCTGAAGCGTGGGGGGTGGGAGGCCTCAGCCAGGAGAGCTTGGGGCCCAGCCGGAAGGGCCCTGCTTCAGGGCCTTTGGAGGAGCTGCTGCACACGCCCCCCTGCCCAGGCTGTGACCCAGCCTCAAAGAGGAGGAAGAGGGCCAGGCTCTGTAATGGAGGCCTTGGGGGGAGGGGCAGGCAGTGGGCCCAGGAGGAGGAGGAGGAGGAGGAGGAGAGTGTCTGGGGCTCCCATGTCACCTCCCTTTCTCTCCTCAGCAAAGCATGGCACAAGCCATGGACTCCGTGTTTAAGGAGCTCTTGGGAAAGGCTGCCATCCGCCAGGGCCTCGGACCAGTGTCTCCTGTCTCCAGCCGCCCCAGCAAGAACAAAGGCTTCCTCCGAGGCCCCGGGGCCCCAACTCCCCCCTCATCATGCTGTCCCCAGGGTCCCAACTCCATCAAGCCACAGTGAGGCTGAGGATGGCAGCCGAGGGCAGAAGCGCTTCTCGCTGGCCCTGCCTGGCGAGCTCAGGGCGTGTGCCCTTGACCCTCTGCTGAGAGAAGGCTGTAGATGCCACACAGGGTTTCTGACCCCACGCCCGTGGCTGCCCAGCACCGGCTTAGGCTTGTCAGGGAGTGTGGAGTGGCGTGTGCCTGGGGGGAAGTGGATCGACTCATAAAGACCTGATGATTCTACAGCACGCAGCCTGCCCTCCGTTTCGTGGGGTTTGGTAGGTGGGCATTCCCATCACTGGGGCAAAGGCAGCAGGTGTGGCACTGGCGGTGCCCCCGGCCCTCTGAAGGCCCAGTCCGCCACGTGGTGTGTCCCAGGCGTGTGCACGTGCCGGTGGGCGTGGGGTTGGGGTACTCGCCTGTCTCTGCACCCCCACCCCCACTGCTAACCCTGCTCCAAGGAGATGCTCGCCGAGTGAGAAACGCGAGCTGGGGTTTTCATTATTATTATTATTATTAGTGAGAGAAGCGGGGTGAGAAAGGGGAGGCTACTGACGGAGGTGCACAGCCCACCCTGCCTTCCTCCTGCCCACCCCCGTCTGACCCGGCAGCCCTCTGTTTCCAGCCTCTGACAGAGGTCTGGCCACTGACCCTGTCAGAGGCCTGGAGGTCCAGGTGTCGCCAGGTAGCCATAGACAGGGAGGCCCAGAGAGGGGGCCACAAGGGCCGGCAGTGACTGGTCCCCAGGCACTGGCACAATGCCTTTGGGTCCTCTTCTCCCTCCGGCTCCTCAAAAGGATGGGTCTTTGGCCAGTGAGGAGCTGGCCGTGGCGCAGGACTCGTCCTGGGGCCCCCGGCTGGGAGGGCCACGCCTCCAGCCGCAGCACAGCAGGCGGCGCAGCTCGGAGGAGACGCTGCTGCTGAAGGAGGCGTAGATCCAGGGGTTGGTGCAGCTGTTGAGGCTGGCCAGGAGCATGAGCAGCACGAAGGGGGGCCCTGTGAGGCGCAGAGTCGGCAGCTCAGGGACCCGCCGAGGGCCCGCGGGCCGCTGCTGGGGGCGCGGGGGGGCACCCACCTTCCCGAGGCGCCTCTGGGTCCCAGGCTGCCCACAGCTGCACAAGGAAGAAGGGCGCCCAGCACAGCACATACACAATGACGATCACCAGTGTCATCCTCACGGTCTTGGCCATGGCTGCTGACACCCGGGCTCCCTCGCTGGGGCCGCCCGGCCGGCGCCCGCCGCGCCGCCTCGCAGCCCGCTCTGGTGGCCCTGGCGCGAGGCTGGCGTGAATCTCCCTGAAGATGAGCACCTGGCAGGCAGCGATGCCCAGGGCAGGGGCCACGAACACCATCAGGGCGATCCAGGTGACGTAGGCACGGAGGCCCCAGGGCTCGGCAAACCGGGCCCAGCAGTCGAAGACACCGCTGCCGTCACCCACGTCACGCTGAGCGAAGATGAAGAGCTGAGGCAGACTGAGGAGGAGCGAGCAGGCCCAGGCCGCCAGCACCGGCCGGTTCCAGCGCGCCCCGCCGCCGTGGCGGTAGGCCAGCATGGGGCGGCAGATGGCGCGGTGGCGGTCTAGGGTCATGGCCAGGATCATGTAGGAGGAGGCGTACATGCCCACCATCTGCAGGTACTTGACAGCCCGGCACAGGGCATCTGGCCCCCGGAAGCGGTCGGTGGCATCCCAGGCCAGCTGGGGCAGCACTTGGAACAAGGCCACCGCCAGGTCAGCCAGGCACAAGTGGCCAATGAAGACATGCATGGGTGCCCAGCGGCCCCGCCGCCCCCGCCGCGCCAGGGCCCCCAGCACCAGGCCGTTGCTCAGGGCCACAGCCACAAAGACCGTGGAGAGCAGGGCCACCTCGGCCCGGGCCAGCACTGGGTCCCGGGGATCCAGCTCATCCTCACTGCTGTTGCCGAGGGGCCTGGGTCGAGAGAGGGGCCCGGGCCCAGCTGGCCAGGGGTGGGGGGAGAGGGCCAAGTTAGGTAAGGGGCTCTGCAGGGCGCCCGGCCCCAAGGCAGGCTGTATCACCCTGGGCTCCTGATTCTGCTCCCCTCTGCCCCCCTACTTCCTGGCCCCCAGCTCCAGCACCAAGCTCTCCTCCCGGGAAGCCACGTGGATGTGGATTTGCACTCGGGACCCATCCCCCAGGCTCGTGTGGTGGTGGGGGGAGGGCAGCCCGGCCCCTCCTTCCCTACCCCACCCCCATGGACAGCTAGAGAGCTACCCCAGGCCCCTGGCCTCCGTCCCCTACCCTGGAGAGGACCTGGGTGAGGGGCCTTGGGAAGGATCGGCCTCCCTTTTCCTCAAGAGCCATCGCTGGCCCTGCTCGTCCAGTGGGGCTAGAGCCCCTTTGCCTCCTTGGGGCTGGGACCTTACCAGAGGTGGGAGACGCCCGGAGCATGGTGGATCTGGTTTGCAGGGCAGGTCCTCTGACTGTTTGGGGGCACAAGACCCTTCGGCAGGTGCCCGTTGCTGGAGTGCTTGTCAGTGGGGGCCTCTTGAGGGTGCATACGAGAGAGTGAGATGGAGCCCCAGCTGGGCCTCTCAAGGCCTGGGCAGGGGAAGAGGACAGAGGGACAGTCAGACAGGCGGACGACCAGAGCCAGGTACCCTCCCAGGCAGTCCTAGAGACCCGGAGACCACCCCCCCCGCCTGCCCACGCCCTGGGGCCCCTCGCCACCCCTCACCTCACCTGGCCAGGCTCCCCAGCTCCTGGTGCAGCTGGGTGGTGGCTCGGATGGCCCTGGTGTTCAGAGCTGTTCTTCATCACCGCCCCTCCCCGCCCCAGCCTCTGGGAGTGACCTGCGGGGGGGGGACTTCCTCCACCACTGGCCCTCCCAGCCCCCCATCTCTGGCTCCTGCCTGGGCCACAGGGAAGTGAGGTCCTGCCTCCTGTGCCCTGGGCCAGCTCAGCTCTCCCTGTCCACCCCCTGACTCCCTCCGCCCACTCCTGAGGGCCCCAACTTGGCCTCTGCGCTGCCATCCTCCCTCAGCCTGCCCCTCTCCACCAGTGCCCCAGGGAGCCCACCTTACCAGAGGGCAGGACAGGCCTGGCTCTAGGATGGAGGACCCCTAGTTCAGTGTCTTCATTCCAGAGTGGAGAAACTGAGGCCAGGCATGGGTGGGGCTGGGCCAAGAACCCATGGCTTTTGTGGGACCAAGCCTGATTCCTGTTTCCCACGCAGGGCTCCTTCTTGGCCTACCTTGGAGTGCGAGCCCAGGGCGTCCGGGGGCCACACAGGGCTGCGGCCAGCAGCCCCTCCCCCGCCTCAATTAGGGCTTGGCCAGAGAGGAAGGACAGGAAGGGAGGGGGGCGGGGGCCCAGCCAGGGCTTAATGTACCCCTGTGAGATCCGGCTTCCGCCCCAAGGTCCTGTGGGAGCCCGTGCCCCACCCTCTTCCTTCTCCCCCACCTGCAGCTACCTGTCCTGGGGGGGGGGGGGCTCCAGCTCCTCCTGCCCCCTTCCTGCTGTCCATCTCCTGAAGCTGCTCTGTCTCCTGGTCTGTGGGTCTGTCTCACACATGTGTGCACACACATACACATTCACTCACACACTTGACACACACGCCTGCCCACTCACTAAGAACGTGTGGCAGTGGTGGGGTGCTCAGAGAGGGGGCTGGGCCCTTCCTCCATCCACTCCCCTCTCCTCTCCCCGAGTCCAGCCCCAAGAACCCCCTCCAGCCTATCCACTCCCAGCTCTTCGCCCCGTCAGCCCCCTCCCCCTTCTCTCCACTCCTGCCCTGCTTCTCTGCATGGCTGGCCCAGGTCCGGCCCGCCCAGGGGCAGTCTCCAGTCGCAGATTGACCCTTCTTTCCTGTTTGTCCGTCTTCTCTGTTGACCTGCAAGGCCAGAGACCAAACAGCCGCTCCTTGAGTGGCTGCCAGCGTTCTTCCCTCCCAGCACCTCCTAGCCCTGAGCGCATGGCTCTGGGTGTGAAGAGATCCTACAGGGGACGCTGGGGGTCCCGCAGGCATGCAGAGAGGCGCACACGTGCACACACCCCTGCACCCGTACCCACACAGCTTGTACATGCACACACGCTGTGCACACACGCCACATACACGCGTACATGCACACCACCCTGCTCACAGCACAGCACCCCCCACAAACAGCACATGCAGCATGGACATGTAACAGGCACTCACATATCCCAGCACACACACACACACAGCAGGAACTCGCACAGCCAGCACATATACATGGCACGCAGTGCACACGCACGCACACACATAGCACATGCACACACACACGTGTGCCACCCCTCAAACCCCCACAGCACACAGCACATACAAAGAGCACACAGATGGCACGTAGTCCATGCATACGCACAGGCACACTCACACACGTGCGCGCGCACGCATGCTTGCTGACCTACTGGGAGGAGGTTGCAGAGCCCCGACGCTCACCTACGTGTTCCAGCCCTCGCCTCCCAGGAGCAAGAACGCGCTCAGCAGTGTCCCTGGCACCACCAGTATTATCATCGAAGAGAGTAAAAGCCTTTCTCAACCACCCAGACCAACAACGGTGGTAGAAAGAGCCGTCCCAGTGCTGTGCGGATCCCCCCAGGTGAGATTGTAAATCGGATTCGGGCCAGCTGTGGGCTGCGGGCAAACATCTCACTGCGACCAAGGCCTCTTTCTTCCTCCCCTCATGGGCTCCCCCCCCCGTGGCCCCCAACCCCACAGGGCAGACAGCCTCGGGGCCCCAGGAATTGAGGTGCTGGGGCTGCAGGGGAGAGTTTCTCTGAGGGACACAGGTCTCAAGGCGCGAGGTGTGTTGTCATAGAGTGGTACCTCACAGGAAGCCCCTGGGCACGAGGCCAGAATGAGACTAGCCTTCCTGGGACAAATGACCACCATTTCCTTATGGGCTTCCCTGTCAGGACCTGACCACGGCCATGCAGGGCTCGAACCCAGCAGCATGCCAGGCTTGGGCCCACCTCGGCTCCTGCAGTCCTGGTGCCCCTGTTGTCTTAGGGAAGGGTCCCTAGTGAGGGTGCCAAAAAACAGGTGAGGGGCTGGCATGTGCCCAATGCCTCCTCTGTGGGTGAGAGTTTACAGAGCAAATTCATTTTCTATACAGCAGTTCATACACAGTTTGTTTCATGGCACTGACTGCAATTCTCGCAGTGTAACAGCTGTCTCCCCACTTTCTCCCTGGAGTTACCTCTTCCCTGTGTCCTTCTTTCCTATGCATTCCTGGCCCCTGAGCTCTCTCCCAGTGCAAATGCTGCCCTTCTCTTCTCCCATGATTGACTGCTCTAAGGAGTGTATCTACCTGATGTAAATACATGTTCACCTTGCATGCCTGTCTGTTGTTTGGCGGGAAGCCACAGGAGTGAGTTCAATTCTAGACCTGAAGCGTAACTAGGGGCTATAGTCTTGGGGGTCTCACCACGTTCTATCAGATCAGTAAACCTGGTCTTTTTTTATGATTTTGAGTTTTGTTCCACATTGTTCTCCCGCTCTATCCGGAATCTCCTGCACCCATCCCCCTCCAAGTGGTTCACAGTGGTACCCTTCTGGTCTCAGGGTTATATAGGATGAGGTTCACATGGTCCACTAGTCCCTTGCACTAATTGTTTCCATATGTCTTTGGTTTTTTCATTCTTCTTTGCTCTGAATGAGGAGAGACCCATGGTTGCATCTAGATGGACGCTTGCAAGCTTTTAAGACCCCACTAGCTACTCACCAAAGTAGGATATATGCACTGCAGTCAAATTGGACCCGACTCATAGTGACCCCTCCTTGGGTTTCTGAGGCAGTATCACTACGGAAGTAGATTGCCCAACTTTCCTTCCGAGGAGTGGCTGGTGGGTTTGAACCGCCAGCCTTCTGGTTAGCAGTCAAATGCCTTAGGCACTACGCTACCAGAGCTCCCAAGTAGGATATAGAACAATGTTTTTGTGTCGTATGTTATGCTAATTGAGCTTGATGTCCCCTGCAACCATGGTCCTGAACCCACAAGTCCAACAACTCACTCCATTAGGGTGGTTGATTGTGGCTGAGAAGTTATCATCGTTTTGCCCCATTAGTTCTAGTTATATGGACACTCTCACAGCACATACAAATACGTATGGAGAAGTCTCATCTGCCAACCTGGGTGTCTTCCCTTTTGCCTAGACATACCCGGTCATTCTGCCTGTCTACCTATCTGTTCAACTATGTTGTTGTTGTTGTTATGTGCCGTCCAGTCGGCCCCAACTCATAGTGACCCCTCCTTGGGTTTCTGAGGCGGTATCACTACGGAAGTAGATTGCCCAACCTTCCTTGCCAGGAGTGGCTGGTGGGTTTGAACCTCTAGCCTTCTGGTTAGCAGTCAAGTGCCTTAGGCACTACGCTACCAGAGCTCCCTGTTTAACTATAGAAAACATTTAAAATTTTGACTAAGTCTAATTTATCAGTTTTTCCCATAGTTTGTATTTCTTTGTGTCCTATCTCAACAGTCTTTGCCTAATCCATTGTCACAAAGATCTTCCCCTGTGATTTATTTTTTAAAAATTAAATTTTTAGCTCTTAAACTTAGACTTATGATGCATTTTGAATTGACTTTTAAGTACGATGTGAGGTGAAGGTCACGATTCCTTCTTTTGCTGGTAGATACCCAGTTGTTCAAAAGACTATCCTTTCCCCAGTGAATTCCTTTGGCAACATTGTCAAAAATCAATTGACCATATGTGTGTGAGTCCATTTCTAGACTCTCAGTTCTGTTCCATTGACCTCTATGTCTATCCTTATGCCAATGCCACATCATCTTGATTGCTGTGGTAAGCTTTGAAATCAGCTAGTACAAATCCCCCAACTTTGTTCTTCTTGTTCAAAATCATTTTGGCTGTTTTAGGTAATTTGCATTTCCACAGAAACTTTGGAATTAGCTTGTCAGTTTCTAAAAAATTAAGCCTGCTTGGATTTTGATTGAGATTGTGTTGAATCTATAAATAAATCTGGTGGAAACCAACAACAGTATTGAGTCTTTTGATTCATATTCATGGAATTCCCATTCCTCTCAATGTTATCCATAATTTGTTGTGATTCACACAGTCCAATGCTTTACTATAGTCAATAAAACACAAGTAAACATCTTTCTAATATTTGCTTTGAGCCAAGATCCATCTGACATCAGCAATGATATCTTTTATTCCATGTCCTCTTCTGAATCTGGCTTGAATTTCTGGAAGTTCTCTGTCAATATACTGCTGCAACCATTTTTGAATTATCTTCAATAAGATTTTACTTGCATGTGATATTAATGATATTGTTCGATAATTTCCACATTTTATGGGATCACCTCTCTTTGGAATGGGTACAAATACGGATCTCTTCCAGTCAGTTGGCCAGGTACCTGTCTTCCAAATTACTTGGTATAACCGAGTGAGTGCCTCCAGCGTGTCATCAATTT